CACAGATCCCATACATGGGTGGAGGTGGAGGAGGGGGGCACAGATCCCATACTGGGGTGGAGGGGGGAGGGGTGAAGAGAGGAGACAAAGGGACAATATAATCACTAACATCCCTGTAGAGTTGGGGGGTAAGGACAAATCACTGATCTGTTTTATATTTAGGGGGATGGAAAGGGGGAAGGGGGAAGCTAGCAATCTATGACACAGACAGCTATACTTCAGGCCCAATTAGGAATCAATATATGTCTGGAGTTTCCTCATGTCTGGTGCTCCATTCCTGTATGTATCTTTGGTCAATCACTGAGAAAAAGTAATTAATTACCTGACCATGATATCATAGAACAATCGTATTGTATCTACATATGTCTGGTTTTAAAGCAGATGATCTTTGCTCTTCTTCGCGTCTATATAAAAGCTGGATTAAGTGAGTGACTGTGTTACGCAAGGACCTATCTATAGACTTGTATGGAAACCAACAGCTTCAAGTTATTTTCATTGGAATCTGGTAATTTCAATAAGACTTAACCCTTCATTGGTCTGTAGGTCAAAGGGCAAAAACCTATAAAGTTAAAAAAAATCATCACTTGTCCTTCTAAAGAAGGTCAAGGACAAATCAACATCACTGATCTGTCTATAGGGCAAGATAGGTCAAGAAGAAGTCAAGGAAAAATTCCCTCCTCAGAGGTCAAGGACAAATCATCTCTTCAAGTCTGTTTATAGGGCAAGATAGGTCAAGAAGAAGTCAAGGACAAATTCCCTCCTCGGAGGTCAAGGACAAATCATCTCTTCTAGTCTGTTTATAGGGCAAGATAGGTCAAGAAGAAGTCAAGGACAAATTCCCTCCTCAGAGGTCAAGGACAAATCATCTCTTCTAGTCTGTCTATAGGGCAAGATAGGTCAAGGAGAGGTCAAGGACAAATAATCACTTCTAGTCTGTTTATAGGGCAAGATATGTCAAGGAGAGGTCAAGGACAAATAATCTCTTCTAGTCTGTCTATAGGGCAAGATAGGTCAAGGAGAGGTCAAGAACAAATCCCCTCCTCAGAGGTCAAGGACAATTCATCTCTTCTAGTCTGTCTATAGGGCAAGAGAGGTCAAGGAGAGGTCAAGGACAAATAATCTCTTCTAGTCTGTTTATAGGGCAAGAAAAGTCAAGGAGAGGTCAAGGACAAATAATCTCTCCTAGTCTGTTTATAGGGCAAGATATAAGTCAAGGAGAGGTCAAGGACAAATAGCCATTACTAGTCTGTTTATAGGGCAAGATAGGTCAAGGAGAGGTCAAGGACAAATACTCTCTTCTAGTCTGTTTATAGGGCAAGATAGTTCAAGAAGAGGTCAAGGACAAAGGATCTCTTCTAGTCTGTTTATAGGGCAAGATAGGTCAAGGAGAGGTCAATGACAAATCCCCTCCTCAGAGGTCAAGGACAAATCATCTCTTCTAGTCTGTCTATAGGGCAAGATAGGTCAAGGAGAAAAAGGACAAATAATCTCTTCTATTCTGTTTATAGGGCAAGATAGGTCAAGTTGAGGTCAAGGACAAATCACCTTTACTACTCTGTTTACAGGGCAAGATAAAGGTCAAGGACAAATAACCTTTACTAGTCTGTTTATAGGGCAAGGTATAGGTCAAGGAGAGGTCAAAGACAAATAACCACTACTAGTGTGTTTATGGGGCAAGATATAGGTCCAGGAGAGGTCAAGGACAAATAACCATTACTAGTCTGTTTATAGGGCAAGATATAAGTCAAGGAGAGGTCAAGGACAAATAACATTTACTAGTCTGTTTATAGGGCAAGATATAGGTCAAGGAGAGGTCAAGGACAAATAACCTTTACTAGTCTGTTTATAGGGCAAGATATAGGTCAAGGAGAGGTCAAGGACAAATAACCTTTACTACCTTGTGATTAGGGCAAGATATAGGTCAAGAAGAGGTCAAGGACAAATCAACTTTGAGAATATTTCAAAATGTTTCCGAAAATCACCCAAAAAAATACCATAAATTGTCACGACAAAGGAGACTGGTTTGGGATTGCTCCTGTGTATAGTGTGTCCCCTTTCGCAGTATTATCATATTGCTCTGAAAAAATGTGGTATATTGGGTTATTGAAGATTTATTGGAAAGATTTTTTTTAGTCAAATGTAATGTGTTTATCTTTTTTATCTTTCTGCGGAAAATGTACATATTTACAAACTTTTTGAAAACCCTAAAAACTTGGTGCTAACCTGATGAAAAGATGCTTAAATACGCCCATGCAATATGAAAGATAACATAAAATATTTGGTGAAGACCAGAATTACATCAAACATAAAGCATACACTTCCAAAATGCTGTATTGCATTAAAGGACGCATAGGAGGTTGCAGAAATGCGATCGAGGTATGATAGTTTTGTAATGATTTCTGACCTTTTCACAGCTTAAAATTTTGAATGCAGGTTCCAGTGATTAGGTGTTGTGCTTTTGGCTTCCTTACAAATTGATACGCCTCATTACCTCCAACTCCTGGCCCTCACCTTCCGTGTTATGTTTACAAGCACACTTACAAAAATATAGTCTGGTAATGGCTAATTAAATCAAAATAAGTTCTCACATCCGGACCTGCTTAAAGTTTACTAAAATGCTATTTTAATTCTTATATATACAAAAACCTGACAGCTTTGAAAAAACAGCCCTGTCTGAAATTTGACAGATATTAAACAAAGATGAAAGAACTGACAATTTTCAGTTATTTAATGTTTATATATTTTTCCATTTAACAGCGAGTTGAAGCTACAGTCCTGTGACTGGTTCTACAATAACGTGAGCCGCCGGTTCAAGCGTTTCGGAAGTGCCAAAGTTGTACGGACGCTGTACAAGCAGCGCACCGATTGTAAGTCACGTCGATTTCACTGTAAGTCTCCGTTTCCGTTTTTGGCATGTATCTGTAGATACAACTGTACCCCCTGCATGGAGTGTGCATGTACTTACGTCATCTGATGTCACATGACCTTCAGCAAACATGTGACCTTGTGCAGCCAATTAAAACTTGAAGCTCATTATAAGCATGCCAGGTATTGTTTGACAGCTAATAATACAGTAGCTGATCCAGAGGGTTTTTCTGGGGTCAGTAATCCCAGAGCCGCTGCTCCCCCTGCCCCCCTGCTCGTGCTGCCCCCCCTGCCCCCTTTCTTTAGTTTCTTTAGGTTGATCAAGCTCAGACTTCATACAGTGCTTCCTAATACCAATAGTGATTGCTTGGGATTGTTTTCAGGTCCGAAGGTCAAAGATCAAGGTCACTCTTACTATGAATAGAAAATCTGTCTCTGAGAGATAACTCGACATCCCTTAAGTTACCATTAATAGAGTAGATCCCGTCTCCATAATCTCATTAGAGTTGCCTATGTATGCGACACATCCACTCCTGTGGAATTCTTGTTTTATAAATCATGTAATTTCTACATTTTACAACTTTTTCCTGATTTTGTACACCCCACCCAGAATCCACCTATCCCCACCCTGCCCCCTGTTCCTGACCCCAGATATAGGTCCCTGGATCCTCCACTGTAATAATAATTAACTTGTAGTGAGGTTGTGTGAATATTTATTGTCATCATTCCCTTTTTATATCACTTATAAAGCCATATGTCCTTGTTTCTGAATGTTTAATTGAACAGAATATGTATCATGCATTTTAACTATGTGTAGATTAATAATAGTGAATGCTATATTGAGTCTTATATCTTATATTTAACAGTAAAAAGATGGTAATTCTAATGAGCTTTTAGGAGATTTTTTATTAATGGTACATGTGACCTTATTGATATTTCTGTCTGACCTTTTATAATCTGCCTTAACCCTTTAATAATCTGTATATGACCTTTAAATAATCTGCATTTGACCTTGACTATTATTATCTTGACCTTGAATAATCTTAATTTAACTTTTCGTAATATAATCTGTATTTTACCTATAGTCATGTGTATTTGACCTTCAATATTATTCAATTGACCTTGAATAATCTGAATTCGACCTTTAGCAATATCCGTTTGACCTTGAAAAATCTATATTTGACCTTGACTAATCTGCATTTGACCTTTAGTAATACGCATTTGACCTTGAATGAATACATTTGACTTTGAATAACTTCATTTGACTTTTGTCTTTGAATAGTGTGCTTTTGTTCTTATACATATAAATACAACTGACCTTAGAAACATTTGCATGTGACCTTGCTTTTAAACTGTATATGTAACATCAAACTTCATTGTCAATTGACATTTGAGGGGGTGCTGATGCACTGATCATACACTCGGTTCCTTGTGATTGTGTTAGATACCTGGAGTTGTAGTATCAGTACATACCTAATTGACAGTTGTCATGCCTCACAGGATTGACATTTGAGGGGGTGCTGATGCACTGATCATACTCTCGGTTCCTTGTGATGGTGTTAGATACCCAGGGTTGTAGTACCAGTACATACCTAAGTGACAGTTGTCATGCCTCACAGGATTGACATTTGAGGGGGTGCTGATGCACTGATCATACTCTCGGTTCCTTGTGATGGTGTTAGATACCCAGGGTTGTAGTACCAGTACATACCTAAGTGACAGTTGTCATGCCTCACAGGATTGACATTTGAGGGGGTGCTGATGCACTGATCATACACGCGGTTCCTTGTGATTGTGTTAGATACCCAGGGTTGTAGTACCAGTACATACCTAAGTGACAGTTGTCATGCCTCACAGGATTGACATTTGAGGGGGTGCTGATGCACTGATCATACACTCGATTCCTTGTGATTGAGATGGTATTAGATACCTGGAGTTGTAGTATCAGTACATACCTAATTGACAGTTGTCATGCCTCACAGGATTGACATTTGAGGGGGTGCTGATGCACTGATCATACACTCGATTCCTTGTGATTGAGATGGTATTAGATACCTGGAGTTGTAGTATCAGTACATACCTAAGTGACAGTTGTCATACCTCACAGGATTGACATTTGAGGGGGAGCTGATGCACTGATCATACACTCGATTCCTTGTGATTGAGATGGTATTAGATACCTCGAGTTGTAGTATCAGTACATACCTAAGTGACAGTTGTCATACCTCACAGGATTGACATTTGAGGGGGTGCTGACGCACTGATCATACACTCGATTCCTTGTGATTGAGATGGTATTAGATACCTGGAGTTGTAGTATCAGTAACAGGAAGTTGTTATGGCCTCTAAACAGATTTCATATTGAAGATAGAAAGGAAAGTTACTGGGGAAAAACTTTAAAAGAATAAAGATGAAATATTTCTTACAATGAAATTTTTAAAAGGAAATGTTTTGACCTGATAATCTAAAAATAAATGAGGTTAGTTGAGGTGTCAGATTTATTGTTGAAAATAAGAAAAGTGTAATAGTATAAAATGGGCTTTAATTTCTTACACTCACGGTAGTTTCACTTTGAAAAAGATTTGAAAGTTATACATGTGTGAATATTGAGTTCAATTTTCTGATAAAATTTATTATTCTTATTCATTTTGAGATGTAATACGACTTTTGATTGGTCAGTCAAAATAATTTGCGACAGTATAACCACGATATACTGTCAGCAAATTTCTCATTTGTACATGACGCCTGGATGGCGATTATTAATGACGTCAATGAAATCCCCCTGACCCCCTGACACGTTATGAAATTGATTATTCATGACGTCACAAACAATAGCCTGACCCCGAAAGGTTAATGAAATTCCGCCTCACTTTTAATATTCCTGATATCACCGATCCACGGCAGAGTGACCCAGAATTTGAAGAAAACACTTAAAAATATCTTAAAATCATTCTTTCTTTTGATGGTTTTGGCTGAAATGAATTAGAATGGGGATAACCCTACAGTATATTGAGATTTGCGGCAGTGTTTCGTGATTATAAGTTTGTCAAAAATATCTGTGTTTCTGGCTCCGCCCTGCGTCACTAGTAAAACTCAATTTACAACAGTTAGTAATCACTATATACTGCCAGTTAATAATCACTATATACTGCCAGTTAATAATCACGATATACTGCCAGTTAATAATCACGATATACTGCCAGTTAATAATCACGATATACTGCCAGTTAATAATCACGATATACTGCCAGTTAAAAGTCACAATATACTGCCAGTTAATAGTCACGATATACTGCCAGTTAATAATCACGATATACTGCCAGTTAATAGTCACGATATACTGCCAGTTAATAATCACGATATACTGCCAGTTAATAATCACGATATACTGCCAGTTAATAATCACGATATACTGCCAGTTAATAATCACGATATACTGCCAGTTAATAATCACGATATACTGCCAGTTAATAATCACGATATACTGCCAGTTAATAATCACGATATACTGCCAGTTAATAATCACGATATACTGCCAGTTAATAATCACGATATACTGCCAGTTAATAATCACGATATACTGCCAGTTAATAATCACGATATACTGCCAGTTAATAATCACGATATACTGCCAGTTAATAATCACGATATACTGCCAGTTAATAATCACGATATACTGCCAGTTAATAATCACGATATACTGCCAGTTAATAATCACGATATACTGCCAGTTAATAATCACGATATACTGCCAGTTAATAATCACGATATACTGCCAGTTAATAATCACGATATACTGCCAGTTAATAATCACGATATACTGCCAGTTAATAATCACGATATACTGCCAGTTAATAATCACGATATACTGCCAGTTAATAATCACGATATACTGCCAGTTAATAATCACGATATACTGCCAGTTAATAATCACGATATACTGCCAGTTAATAATCACGATATACTGCCAGTTAATAATCACGATATACTGCCAGTTAATAATCACGATATACTGCCGTAAATTTACAAAGTTAATAATCACGATATACTGCCAGTTAATAATCACGATATACTGCCGTAAATTTTCAAAATGCAATGGAGATAAATCATCAGGACAGGGAGTATAGCTAAAGTGATGAGTCTCCCCACATATATCGGTTTCTATGGTAACGGTTTTGTCTCCATGGTAATCATAATTCATAGTTCATCATCGGTTTATTGGACAAACATTTAACTGCTGTCCTCACATCGTAGCCAGGGCGACAGACTTTAAATGAATAAGTGATATGTGGTGTGTCAGTTCATTGTCTAAAGCTACCATCCATCATTTATACAGGTATGATACGTTTTAGTACTGAACAAATCTCATATTTAATTTAAAGAAAAAATATAATTTATTTGTAAATACATGTACTAATGGCTGGGTGGCTGTGGTAGCCGAATGATTTAGACATTTGACATTCTGTTATCACTAGTCCTACACCTCTGGGTCGCAGGTTTGAGTCCTACGTGAGGCAGTCGCCAGGTACTGACAGTAGGTCGGTGGTTTTTCTCCAGGTACTACGGCTTTCCTCCACCAACAAAACCTGGCACATCCTAAAATTACCATAGCTGTAAAAACCAAACGAATGGCTGGTGGGGGAATTTGAAGTATAGCATCTATTAGCCAATCATTATCCCTCTGGAATGTCTTGTTCTGTATAGCATACATCCAAGTATCGATTACATTATTTTAAATTGGAATAAAACATACGTATCCACTCTGTCCTACACAACAATATACAGAGTTAGTTCACTGGGAATCATGTTATCAAGGGCGTATCAAATATACTGTCACCTACACTTGTCAAATCTTGGTCTCTGATTATCCGCTACTGTGTACAGAGTTATTGCCCTTTGTGATTTTCAGGTCAAATCTTGGTCTCTGATGATCCGCTACTGTGTACAGAGTTATTGCCCTTTGTGATTTTCAGGTCAAATCTTGGTCTCTAGATGATCCGCT